CGAGTACGACGCCTGTCCCACCCATCGTGGATTCGCCGTTCGGGAACGTGCGCAGAAGGCGCGGCGCATTGTCGAGCAGAAAGACCGAGGGGGCACTCGCATACAGTTGCCAGTTGGACGTCACCTGATATATAAGAGTGGAGCGTTGCTGCATATCGGTGCTTATTCACTCGTACGTGTAACGTCCTGCCACGATGCTCCAAGCGGCAGGCGTAGAGCCACGTCGCCCAGCGCGTGGCTTCCCACAGCGAGAACGTAGCGCCCGATGCGAGCTCGATGCTGGAGGCGTCTGAATCGAACATCCAATGGCCCGAGAGGGCCGACTCGTTCGAACGCAGCGGTCCCCACGGCGAACTCAGAGCACTCTACACCCATGAGTTCCATTACAAAAATTTTGGAGGCTTACCAAGGAGACTTCACGGAAATGGGCCACGACCGAGCGGTACCCGAACCGGCCTTCAATGCCAATCTGCGCTTGCACAGCCGCGTCCATCGCCGGGTGCTTTTGACGCACGAGCGACGCGAGAAGCGGCAGCGTCGTGTCGAAGGCGCGCGTCAGAAAATCATTGGCGAGCGCGTGCAGTAGCTGGACACCGTCGCTGTAGGCTTGACGCAGCGTCGCCTTGGCGAGCACGCACGCCTCGTGCGTCATAATAAAGGCGCGGAGCTGCATCACGTGCGCTGGCTCAAGCAAGTGCGCTAAGAGCGCGGTCGCCATCTCGTGCTCGTCCGAGACCTATCCATACATAATGCACTCGAACGCTCCGACCCAACACATTGCCAACGGTTCGAACCGGTGTGCCATTCCACCGCGCCACGCAAGCGAATGGAGCACGCGGCGACGCGTCACAGAGCAGGTGGCCGACCAGAGCAGCCTCGGCCGTCGCGTTCGACGGCTCGATCGTATCCAAAAAATAGCTCACGAGTCCGAGGTCGCTGGCCATGGTGCGGATCGGCACCGGCACCAACGACGACGACGACGGCAATGACGATGGTGCTACGGGGGGGGCGCCACCCCCGCGGTTACGGTATGTAGCCACCGTGAAGCCGGGCGACGTGACTTTGGCGATAAGATGCCAGGCCACGCTGCCGCTTGCTACCGAGACGACTTCAAACAAGAAGCCCTGTATCCGATGGATACAAGCGTCAACAAGGGACCGTGGAGAGAAATCAAGAAGGTACCGTGGCGGCGTGGAGGCGGTCTCGGACGCTTTGGCTGCGGCCACTCTTCCACCCGTACGTCCAGCCATCGACCAAGCTATGGTTGAACGAGCTCCCGAGCACGTTCTATCGTATGCATCGGAGACGGTTCGCCTCAAGTCCATAGGTGTACTACATTCTCGAGAACTTCTTCCTGGCCACGGTACCACGTGGCGCCGTTGTCGTCGTCGCCTTCGCGGCCATCCTGGGGCGGCAATGTCGCGCCCAGCGCCCAGCTCTCGTGGTCGGTAGGTGCAATCTTGAGCAGCGACGCATACGTCCTCGGCGTCGGCGTCGGCGCAAGCGTCGTGAGCAGCTGCAGTGGCATGCCACAGTACCGGTTGGCGACGTGGCACGGGCAGCAATGCGGAAAGCACCTAGAGCATAGTATCCGCGCTAGGGGCATGTTATGGCGACAGGCGCGCGTACCGCATGACCTACGTAGCGTCCATGAGCTGGAGCGTCCTGCAGCGGCCAGCGTACCTTGACCTTGCGCGCCCGCTGGTACCTAGCCATGGCGCATGAGGCGAGTGCTAGACGAGAGCGAGCATGCTACCGCGTGTACTGCGCCTGGAAGATGGTCTCGTGGCTGCAAAAGTTGACGTGGAAGACGCTCGACGCGACGCCCGGCGCGAGCTCGACCGACATGCCTTCTTTTGTGTTAAAAAAACATGAAAAATGTAGGCCCCCCACGGGTGCAATTCAAAACCACTTGATTACGAGACCACCACGCGACAGGATGAGGGCCCTGGCCCTGGTCCCTCAAAAGGTTCCGGCCATAGAGTGAGGTCCAAAAACGTGTTGTAAAAGAGAGGGCTGGCAACACCAAGCGGGTCGGTCTACTACTATAGTATAAGATATAGAACTATCGCAATTGGGTGGCCTCGACTGCGCCACGTTAAGCAGAGAAGGCGAACAGACACGATCCGTCGAATCCAGGCTTGGATGGAAACGACGACGTCATCGAGGGAAACGTCGACAGTCATCGCTCGGCTAGAGCAAAACGTCGATGAGTCCTTGTGAATGTCGCCGCCTCCATGCTGTCTTTACTACGTCTGTCGGACGTCCAAGTGACACAAGCAACGACAACATCGAGGGTTGTACTCTGGTGAGAGAGGGCAGAGAGTAAATGTCGACTCGTCGTCTACCTAGCGCCATTGCAAGGCGGCGCACGATGCGGCTAGGGACGCTGGCGCAGTAGTGTCGAGTCGCGTGCCCGAATCCGCAGTGAGGCAACTAGAGACCCGTTCGAGATACCGACTTGGATCGCCCACCTCTAGGAACGCAACCAGCGCCGCGCAGAACCCGTTGATCCCGGCTCTGTGTCGTGCTCCGAACCGCATTTCGGTAACCGGTTCGTCAAGGACGCTGTGCCACGAGCCTCTTAACAACAACCGGCGTATTTGTTTGTCTCGTATGTTTGCTCCCGCCGATGCTCCAAAACCCACCTGGGCGTAGCCGGCGGTGGTCCTAGCCTCCAGAGTCCTCTCTGGGCGGTTCCAAGCAAGGACACACGTCTCTCTTGGTTTGCAGATACGGGCGGACCTCTGCCTCTGACCTCACCACCGCGCCACTAATAACGTAACCAACGAGTTGAAATTGGTTTCGATAGGTTATCTGAGGCGGCGATTTGGTCAATATAGAAAGCAAGACGATCGTCATGGCATCATTCCCCGCGTGTATAGCAACACGCGTGGACGAGGGATGATCGAGCGCCACGGTGGAGCTCGTGCTCGTAGCTACGTGCCTGCTTTGAACAAGCTGACCACTTTATCCTCGCGGCTACAGCTCGACGACACCTGGGGCCGCCCTTGCATCGTGGTAAATGAGCTCGCCGTGCATGACGTCTTCGATTTGCGCAGAGTGCCAAAGCGCCGTGCGGTCGCGGGCCGTCATGTACAATGCACTGCCATCGATCGCGGAGAGAACCACGCGCTGCGACTGCAGGCGCACCACAAGCTCGCGCTTCTCGGACACCCGCAGACAAAAGGTGACGCGGAGGCCTTCGTTGGCTGCCAGGTTGTACCGATAGCACGTCAAGTGAACGACGCCGCCGGACGTGGTCCCCACATAGTCGCCATCTACGACGGTATGAGCAACCATTCGCTTGGAGACAGACTACCCAGAGTGTGTCCGTCACTGGCCATGCTCGACTCGCCATTCGGAAGCGTCCGAAGCACGCGCGGGTGATTGTCCAAGATAAAGTGGCTCGGCGACGACGGGCACAGCTTCCACTTGGACTGCACCTACGCAGGTTGGCGTTATATTGAATGACTTGCATGCGCCAACGTACGAGCAGCTCGTGTTCGCAGTGGATGACGTGGCAAGCGGAGAGCAGTGTTGCATAATGCGCGGCGGCGGTCACGGACACAGCCAGTTGTGGCGCCAAATGACTTTTGGCCACGCACACGACCCAGTCGCCGGATATCGCACTATCTGTTGGCGTTCGCACGGGCTCGCGCGTCGCGCTCTAGTACCCACGCGCATAAGCCAACGACTTCTGAAAAAAGCGTACGAGCGCCACTTCGCGGAAATGGGCGACGAGAGCGTGGAACTTGAAGTATCCTTCGCGCTTCAAGTGGCCTTCGAGCACGTCTTCTAAGAACGGACTGTGATGGGCGATCGTCTTGGCCAAGTCGCCCGTGCACGTGGCCGCGTCCGTCTTGAAAAACGATTCGGAAATCCGGTAGAGCAGGTGAACACAGTCGTTGTAGGCAGCCGTGAGCTCGGCTTTGTCACAAACGCAGTCGCGATGGGCCATGACGACGGCTTCGTACTGCCCCATGTTGTGCGGGTGGAAGAGGTGGACGAGCCACGACGAGGCAAGCGCTCGAAGGGGCTGCAGCGCCGGCGACGAAGGCAGCTGGTCACTCACGGGCGACGTCTACAATCCCTTTGAACTCGAATGCCATCGTACAGATGAAGTGTCTACCGTGTTCAACAGTGCAGACATGTCGTCACGTGTCGGTGGACGGCCTGAAATGTGCTGAAAGAGTCGACTCGACCACTCCGACGTGGTGCATTCGATTGGCGTCAACTGCAAAAAGAGCAGGAGGATGCCCAAGTGGTTGGCCATGATTTGGGTCCGGGACGAGACATGGCGAGGCGACTCGGGGGCGATGACGTTTTTGGACGAGTGCGAAAGCAAGTGGGACGTCGACACCATCGGTGCTGACAGCGACAACGTCTCTGTTGTCGCCTTGGTCGTGTTCCGATACGTTTCGATCTTGAACCCTGGCGAGAGCACCTTGGCCACGACCCGCCACGCGCTCGATGAGACTTCAAAGATGTACACCTGCCCATAATTGTATGCATGTCGTCACCATCAAGAGCAGCGTACCTTGACGTGGTGTTGGCAGTCGCGCACGGCTTGACTGCGACCACTCGCCCAGCCATACGTCCAGCCCGCGGCGAGGTCTTGGTTGAAGACACTCGTTAAAACGTTCTAAACAGTGCAATGGGTCAACGCAATAGCAAAAGGAGTCGCGTCGTACTTGTTGCTCGAGTTTTTGACGCCCGACATACCATGACGCCCCCGCGTCACGCGTGAGACGATCGACGTCGACGGGCTCGATGACGTCATTGACAGCCCACTCGGGCTCGAGCGACGGTGCCAAATGCAGCAGTGAGACGTACGCAGCCGCTGGCTTGGGCGGATGCGGCATCTCGGTATGAACCGTGATTGGCGTCCCGCAGTACCGGTAGTAGACGTGCCGCGGACAGCAGTGGGGAAAGCACCTACCAGGACGTCACTTGGAACCTGCGCCGCCGCCATAGTTCTCGTCGTACCGGAGCACCTAGCAATGGCAGCCAGTCAACCATCCTGTTCGGCGGGGGATATATGTACCTTGACTTTGCCAGCCTTTTGGTACCTACAGCGACCCATGAGAAAGAGCAATTCGTACGCGCTGCGCACCGCGTGTACTTGGGCTGGAAGATGGTATCGTGGCTGCAGTAGCTCACGTGGAAGCGGCACGAGACCGCGCACTCGGTCATGATAGCGTCGAATTGCACAGTGTGGGTTTCGATGTTATGATCATTGACACGTTTCAGTCAAAACCGTTCCTTTAAGATATATCGAACATAACCACGAGATGTACGACCCAAAAACTTCAGCGAGCACCAAGGCCTTTTCTAGGCCCCTTCCGAGGCGGCGAGGGAAGCAAGGGCGGTACTAGTACATGGGGTGACGGTCGATGGACCACACTGGTGGTTACGATGCCACCCGCTGAGAAGTCAAAATCTGGAACATTAGAGTGCTATACTGAAAGCGAGATCACGCAATCTCGGTCGAACGGTGGGTGCGTTTCGTGTCGGAGCTCTGTGATGGATGTGGCGTCGGTCGCAAGTGCCGTGAGTCTAAAGTCACGCACCTTGGTCCCGTCCGCTCCCGTCTCGTGTCGCTCGATTGCATTCTGTTGGCCCAACACGGCACTCGAGTGGATCTGTGCTGCATTGCAGTGCAGTAGTTCCATGCACTGACGGGGCTCGTGTGGACCGTGGTCGCGATAGTCCGTCAACGCGAAGGCAACTTCAAGTTGCGTGATACTAGATAACGTAGGTGCCCCAGCGGTGACTCACTCGAGGGGTCGCCGAAATCCTTTAAAACGACGCTTGCTAGTAGCACGCTCTCGGTGGACTGTACTTGCGCCAACTTGAGACGTGCAGCAACGAACAAGCATCATCCCACTTATCATCCCATGCTCTTTGTACCTGAAAGTTGCGACATACGGCGTCACGATCGGCGGCAGCGAGACAAGGTCCTGGAGATACGCCAGCGACTGAAGCAGGGTCAGCGACTAGAGGTCGCGGTGCAGGACGATCGACAATGTAATCTTGGTGCGGCCTAAAAAACGGGACGCCTCGGGCGGGGCAAAGAAGCGGGCGGCGGCGATGCTGGCAGGGACGTCTTTCTCCAGGCGCAACGCGGTGCCCAGTGCTGGCGGACAACGATCTCGCTCAGCGGGACGCCGGCGCAGCACTGGAGTATCTAGCCTTCGTACAATTAATTTCTAGATTTTAATCGAAATACTAGTGTTGGTTTTCGGGCGGGGGGCGGACGAAGGCCAAGCATTTCTCTGCTTCGGTCACTAAGGACTCCAACGACTCCAGGTCACCCGCCGCATCCGATTTCCGGTGCAGCTACGCGTATCGATCTGGGTGCGGTAGCCCACGCAGGAAGCAACATGGTATTGGTTATATGCAACCTTGCGCGATGCTCCAAGCACAGCACTCGTCCTCTCTGTCGCGCCCAATCCACTCGGAGGCCATGCGCCACCGTGTTCTGTGCCATAGCCAAGGGAATACTATTCACCACAGCCATCGGTCATGTTTAGGACTGCGGGCAAGCAAGAAACACTGTACGACGACGAGCACGTCTAGTTCCTATTGCGCTGCGGCATTACGCTGGTACGCGCGTCAGCTCGAGATCAAAGGCGGCCGCGGGCGCGCGGGGCCACGCGTCCAGCTCCTCGACGCGACTTTCCGTTTTGAGATCAAAGAGCTCCAGAATCCTGGTGTCCGGTACGTCGGTCGCCCCGCCCAACTCAACGGTCGCCGAGACAAGAAGCACGTCCTTTTCCGTGACGTGCAGGTGCACCTTGGCCACCAAACACGCCGCACCGCCGCGCTCGTAGCCATAGAGGGTTAGGTGTATGACGCCCGACGGCGCCACGTGGCCACGGTAGTCGACAGCGATCGTCCCCAAGCACGACTCGCCGTCCGGTAAAACCCGAAGGCTGCCCAAGCGTCCGTCCAAGACGAAGCTCGATGGGACGGCGGTGAACCGTGGCGTCACGGCGCGGATCTAGTAGCATCGAGAGATGGTCAAGTGCTTCCATTTCCCGTGCACGTTGCATTGCGTACCAAGAGCGTCGGCGCGTCGAGCCGGGCATGGAAGGCCGTCGTGTTGCTCAGCCAGCGCATGTAGTGGGGTAAGGTCACGCCGGTGCGCCACGACGTGCGGACGGTCGTCGACTGCCGCTCCCACGCGCCATTCAGAACTGACGTTCCAAAGCGAAAGGACGGCCACGACGGGTGTCCCTGCGTCGCCTAGTTTGTCGCTGAGCTTGGATCATCCTCAAAATACATCTTCAAAATACGGCAATGTAAGCTTCCCGCAGTTGCGCGACAAAGCGAGGACGAAAGTCGTGCAGTGAGAAAAGCGGTGACGGCGGTGGTCCCATCTGCGTGATCGCATCGGCGACTGCACCGACCGTGGTGCCAAACGTGCTCACGACGCGGTCGATGGTCGGCAGCAGCACGTGCTCGAAAAGCGGGTCAAGATCGCTTGCGACTCGGGCTTGGCGAGCACTGCCGCGGCGTGCGTAAGGAGGCACGCGTTGAACTCGGCGACAAACTCGCGGCCGCACAGCGCCAATGCGATCGCGACGCAGATCTGATCGTGCCACGACCCGTCGCTGCATGCGGCCAGCGGCCCAAGCGTGGGGCACGCAGCCCCCATGGCGTGGTGAAGCCAGGCCACGCTCGCGGCCGGCGCCATGTCCACGCGGAAGGTTCGGATGTACGACAGCAAAACGTCGTACGACGAGGCCGACAGCTCGGACGACGTCTCGCCCGCCCGCTTGCGCTTGTTGTACTCGCCGCGGTACGACACGATGGTAAACGGTGTCGACGTCGCCGTGCTCACGACGCGCCACACGTCGGGCGCCACGGGCGTGAGCACGATCGCCTACGTAGTGGGGCTTTTGTGTCGTTGGAGAAAAGCACGGACCTACGCGGAAGACATGGGCGAGGTCGCGCTGGGCCTTGCTGCGCCCGCTCTTCCAGCTGTACTGCCACCCGTTGAGCTCCTTTTCATCGAAGCGGAACGCGTTGGGGATGATCTAGACATTATTGTCATTCAGGATTGGTCGTATGGATACGGTTGGCGCACCTCGTCGCGGACCGCGCTCACGAGCGAGCCGCGCGGGTTGGACGGCACACGGAGCTCGCGCTGGACGAGGCTGGCGTCGACGACGGTCCCGGCCGGGTAGGGGTCCTCGTCGCTAAGCGAGAAGAGCCCAAACACGTGCAGGGGAGATGGCGTGTGGTGCGCGGTCCGAAGGTAGAGCGACGCGCCGCAGTTGCGGTAGTGCACGTGGCCCGGACAGCAGTGCGGAAAGCAGCGCAGTATCTACGCACGCTCGGTCAGGTATAGTGTCCACGGCAAAGTCGCTGAACCTTTTGGCCTTGGGTTTTCTGGCACCTACAAGCCAACAACATGATGTGACGCTATCGGCAGCAGCTGACTCGCGTGGCGTACCGGACGTAACTCGGTCGAAAGATGGGGCTGCCGGTATGGACGCAGTCGACGAGGAAGAAGTGGCAGCCAACGCGATCGGTCGGCGCTAGCATCGTTAATGGACTCGATTCGACGAGATCGGACGACGGACGTCCGTGTAATTTGATCTGTCCGATCGCCCAGCCGGTGGACTGCACAAGCCGAATCCAACTGTGCGTGCGACACGACTCATGGTCCGGGTTTGCATTCGCGCTGCTTCTGCGAAGACGACGGTACCGGTACGCTCTCGACACATCTTTTGAGACCATCACGTGCCGCCCACACGGCGAGAGGTGTCCATTTTAGCAGGCGATGCAGGACCAGCCAAGCGGCGGCGCGACCTCTGGCAACAACGTGGGTTGGTACTGTATGCATTTTGGGACGCCGCTGTACCACACGGCTGCGTGCTTGGGTGCGGGGCAATCAAGAACAGAAAGCCGTCAAGTGAGTCAAGGTGAGGTGATTGCAAATGGAGCCAGACGGCGTCGCAATACAGTCATGTCTTTGCATGGATTTGAACAGCAGTCGATGCCAGGCATATTGTGTTTAGTAGCCTAAATCCAGATCCAGTACACGTACGTACACGACATGTCCAGCTGCCCATCTCTCGTCATTCTTGGGTGGTCGCGGGACGACACTTTATAGTCGATAAAGAGTGTGGTAAAAATGTTTCTTATTGATTAGTACACCCGCGAGTCATCACGGCAACGTCGTGCGCGCAGTGCCACTGCCGGCAAGTGCAATCTCGCAACCGAACGTCACGCTGCGCGAGTGTACGTCATGTGCAATGAAGCGACAGGCGCGAGCGGCCACTGCGCTTGGTACATTGTGACGCGCGTCGACGCGTCGGCATCGAAGAAGGCGTCGTCGACGGGCGACGGGGCATTGGCCCGGTGCACGCGCACTGTGTACAGTAATGTCTGACCATCTCGAGGCGCGATGTGGACCTCGGCGCGAAGGCACATGTTTGCATTGCGCTGCAAAAGATACAGCGCGAGCGTCACGTCTCCGTGCGGCCCCAAGTACCCAACGTAGTCGACGACGAGGTCGGCCAAGCACGACTCGCCGGTCGGAAGCACGCGCAGGCTGCGGGGGCTGGCGTCGCACACAAACTCGGAGGGCACGGTGCTGAACCGAGGCGACATGGACCGCATCTAGTCGACACCATCTAGTATGAGATACGACGCGAGCCACCTCGTTGGCCTACATGCAGCGTTGGGGTCGAGAAGCGCTGCTGGAACGACGACATGTTGTCGAGAAAGCAGAGGTAGTGTACGAGGGACGTCGAGAGCGCCCAGTGGGGCACGACGGTGGCTTCTTGTTGCCACACCCACGTGCCATCCATAGCGCTGCCGGCGCTCGGACTACGGAAGCGCGTCGGCGCCAGCGTCTGTGTCTATACAAGATCGCGTGAGGGGATAGGGTAGGGATGGGGCAACAGTGTACCAAAATGTACGACTCGCGCATCTGCGCCACAAACCGGCCAAAGAAATGGTGGTCGTTGCTCTTGGTGTTGCGTGGCAGTGTACTCGCGACCTCGACTGCCGAGACGTGGTGCTGGTCCAGCACCGCCTCCAGGATCGGAAAGAGCACTTGCTCCATGAGGCACTCGTAGTAGACGCGCTGGAGGTCGGTCTTGTCGAGGACCGCGGCGGCGTTGGCGACCAAGACGTCGTTCATGCGCTCGAAGACATCCTTGTGGTTCAGCGCGACGATCATGGCGAGGCACACGTCGTGGTGTGCAGTGCTACCATGCCCCACGACGCGACGGGCAAAGGTAGCGGCACGTGGGCGCGGAGCCACTCGAGGAGTGGCGGTGGCGTCGTTTCCAACGAGATGGACGGCAGACTCGACAAGATGGCCATCAAGTGGTCCGAACTCGTGCTGGGCGGCGCAAAGTCTTCGCTCTGGAGCTGTTCTCGCTTCTTCTTGTTGTGCTCCCCGCGATACGACACGATCGTAAACGGCGTTGACGCAACCGACGCAATGAGGACCCACTCGTTGTCGCTAGATGGGGCGGCTTCAAAGACGTATGCCTACGCAGTGTTAGTTAGTCGATATTCGCAGCACGTGTACAAGTACCCGAAGCACGTGGGGAAGGTCCCGCTGGGCCTTGCTGCGGCCGCTCTTCCATGCATAGTGCCAGCCATCGACGAGTTTTTCATCAAAGCGAAAATGCCGCACGGTGTCGAGCGACGGCAGCCGGAGGCCTTCGTAGAGCGTGCCAAATATATTGGACCGCGACCGGGTGTGGGCCTCGAAGTAGCTACTGGGGACGACTTCGTGGAGCGCAAAGACATCGTCGGTGGCGGTCGTAAACGCGAGCACGGCACGTAACGACGCGAGTTGGGACCGTGGCTGCACCGCCAGACAAATGGCCGTTCCACAGTTCCGGTAGTGGATGTGGTGGGGGCAGCAGTGCGGGAAGCAGCGCAGAATCTACGATATTGCGTAAGTACCCGTTTGCCTGTACTACGGCATGTCGTGAACCTTTTGGCCTTGGGATTTCTGGCATCTAATAGTCCAAGTGCAATGTGAGGTGCAATCTCAATAACGTCGTGTGGGATGGCCGCGTACCGCACATACGTGGGCTGGAAGAGCGCGCCGTGGGTGCACTCGGGAAGGTAAAACGCGCAGGACATGCCCAATTCGGAAATAGTACGAGTGCCAACTTGACCACGCGCGGATGACGCGCCGCCCGGATGTCATTACTACATCGGAAAATGCTTTTTCCAGCACGTGTGTGGAACCTACACCGTCTCCGCACACAAGAACTTATTTGTGCAGTAGGAAATGATGGGCTCACATGCATGTTGCCACGCCGTCGTTGATTGGTTCATGACGTGAACAATTACAACGTGGTCGACGACGCGCCAAATGGTAGCGGTCATGTAATGACTCAGCGGGCTCCCGCCTCTATAAATGGGTCCGCCCTATACAGGCTGGACGACGCAGGGCGCGTCGGCAATGGCCCTATTTGTGACCGACCGGCCCCAAGTGTGTCCCGCGCCATCCCAGCACCATGGTGGCGCTCGCACGTTTCTTAAGCCGCCGTTGGTGCTTCAGGAGCTCTGTAAACGCATCAAGTTTCTGAGCAGTGTAGTAGTACGACGCCAGCTGGTCTCGCATAACATCGAGATCACCCCTGGATAGTGATGCGGGAAAATAGCAGAGATTCGTGCGTTGGCACGTCGTGTGCCACCGATCAACGACTGGCCGAGAAGGGTTCGCGAAATGCGAGCAACATGAGGTAGCGACCTCTGCAGATGCTCCGACAACATGTGTTTGCCGTGGAAGTCTCTTCCAGGCGTGCAGTAGCTACTAAAAGAAGCCGTCGTTTGGTCGCATGCAACGTCGCCGGTGACTGTTGGCAGCACGTCCCAATGTGTTCTGGCGCAGTGCCACATACCGGTAGACTGTAGTCATTACTGTAGAGCGACGTATCCATGAATGACGTATTTTTCAAAAGGTAACTGCATTTGGCCCATTTGTTGCTAAAGTTACGACATCGACGTGCTTTTTAGAAAAGCCACTACCAGAGCATACTTTGTTCAAGATATTCCGCCTCGTGCCGCCAGATAAGCTTCGTAACTTTTTTTAATTGGCCAAATGTAGTAACTATTTGAAAAAACTCTCGATGTCTGTGTTGGGATCACGACGATCTCTTGTTCGTTGTTATTGTTCGCGCTCAAGCGATGGGTATCACCTAGTGTAATTTATGTCCTCGGTATCACGCTCTGCACTGGACACAGAAGAAGATCGGACCTCTACCGTCCACAGCCCTCTGAATCGCGGCAGTAACCATCGTGTGGTCGGGCTACATACCACGCGTATGTGAGCAACGAAGGATAATCAATTGCTGCGACCAAATGCGGATCGAACGGAGCACGAAGGGGTGTCTTTCGAACGATGTCGTCTCTCGAAGTAAGAAGGATTGACGGCGATGGGTTTTCTCTGCATGGGTGGTGGGTTGCCGTACGGATAATCAGGTGTCGTATCGGGATGGCACCAGAGACTGCCACGTGGTCGTTTGCGTGTCAAAATGTTGGCGCCGTTTTTGAGTCGAGTCTTGCAGGCTTACTGTATACGAGTAGGATGCACGTGTAGTAAATTGACTATTAGAACACTGGCGCATAGACGAGCAGCACGACACATTCTTGAAGCAGGTGTCGGCGCTTGCTACAAACCACACAACATATCGACGCGCGATCAGCGGCCAGTGCCGAACACGGGTTGATTGGAACCCTGCGATGCTACTGCAAGCAACAACACCATCTGTGTCGGTCTGTACCAACTTCCATCTGCGATGACCCACCCCGTTCGTTACAAGGCACTCGACGTTGTTTATGTAATATCCTCAGCCACACGACTGTAGGTGGAGAGGAAATGGCCATGGGGTTCGCTGGCCCCCAGCGCAGAAACACGCTGCGACGCACGCACGTCCAAGAGGCCAGCGTCATCGAGGCATGTCCGCTCGAGCTGCACGCGATACACCAGCGTGTGCGCGCCACTTGGCCAGACGCGGACGGTCGCGAGAACGCACGCGGATCGGCTTCGTTCATAGAGGAAGAGCCGTAGTTGGAGCTCCTCGCCAGCGACGAGGCAGCCAACATAGTCGACGGCGACGTGGCCCATGCACGACTCGCCCGACGGCAATACCCGCAGGCTGCGAATGTCGCCATCGAGCACGAGTTCGCACGGCACGGTGGAAAAAGCTGTCGACGTCGCTCGGATCTAGATCTGATATGAGCTCGATCGACATCCAAATCGAAGAAGTACGTACTTGAAGCGTGTGTCCGACAAGTCGCTGGGTAAACGATCGCGCGATCGCGAGGTACCGAAGGTAGTGCGGTAGCGTCCATGGCAAGGCCTGCAGCGCCGACGTGTCGTCCGAGGACCAGGTCCACGTCCCGTCCATTGGCGATGGCCCCATTGGTGTTAGCTCGAGGCGCACGAGTGTCGACTGCGTCTAGCAGCATGCTTGAAGGGCTGGTAAATAATGGACATGTGGCTACCGTGATGTACGCTTCGCGGAGCTGCGCGACAAAGCGCGGGGTGAAACTGTCGTACCCGTCGCCGTCGGCATCGATGGTGATGTCCGAGATCGAGACACCGCACGACGCCTGGAGCTCGGACTCGAGGTATGGCACAAGCACGCGATGCAAGAGGGCATCCAAGACCCGGTTGAGAGCGGCCTTGTTGAGCACCGCATCGGCGTGCGCCAAGAGGTAGCTATTGACGCGCGCGAGAAAGTGCGGGTGGGCGAGGGCAATCGCAGCCACCACGCTACTCGTGACATAGTCGGGAACGGAAAACGCCGGGCGAATGGCGGCAGCTGGCAGCAGCGGGAGCGCGTGGAGCCCATGCATGGCCAAAAGGCGCGCTTCGATGCTGAGTAGCAGGTCCCGTGGCGCGGAATCGAGCCGGTAGTCGCCGAGAAACCGGACAAGCCGACCAAGCGAGGACACATCGCTGTTCGGCAATGTTGACGCCAGCCGCTGGAGGCGCCGCGGGACGCTCTGTGCGTGCTTCTTCTTCTTGTTGTGCTCGCCACGGTACGACACGATCGTAAACGGTGTCGAGATGGCGACCGCGACGACCGTCCACCGGTGTGCATCGACGGGGTGGAGCACCACCGCCTACGAGTCGTCGTCGATACAATTGTACTCGACCACCTTTCGAGCGCGCGCATACCCAGAGAACGTGGAGAAGGTCGCGCTGGGCCTTGCTGCGGCCACTCTTCCAGCCATAGTGCCAGCCATCGGCTTGCTTTTCATCAAACTCAAAGTGACCGTTCTAGAAGCGCGCGTGCGATAGCCTGCGATGGTCACACCGAGTACCTCGTCGAGGCGCGTGCCTTCGAGGTGTGTCGCGAGCGGGCTCTCGCGCGATCGAATCGTCACGTCGTCGATGGAGATGACGTCGCCGACGCGCACGTTAGTCTCGGTGGCGAGGCCAAAGGCAGCGAACGCGCGCGCCTCGATGGACGACGCGATGGCCAAGCGCACGGCCGAGCCGCAGTTGCGATAGTGGACATGGCGAGGACAGCAGTGCGGAAAGCAGCGCAGAATCTACAGCGGTGGGTGAGGCTTCTTCGTTGACGCCTCATGTGGCGGCACCTTGTGCCCGCTGGACTTTTGACATCTGTGAATGTGCAGAGGAGACCGTGGTTGCGTGAGAACATGAGTAGAAGAAGGGTGTACGCACCGAACGTAGCTGCTCGCAAAGAGGTCGTCGTGACCGCAATATGGCAGGTAGAAGGTCGCCAATGGCATGCTAGTTGGAGGCGATGCCGCAAACGCAAGTGGAAGTACTGGTGCACGTCCCGAGGAATAAAATTGTGTGGGACCGATGACTGACGAGGTCGTCTCATCCAATGTATAGTGCGGTCACAATATAAATCGGCGACGTGTGACACGCAAAAAGGCAATTTGGCCCTGATTTGAACCCAGTTGGTTCTGCTTCTTCAGCTTTGCCCGCGACGACTGTTGCTACCGCACACGGATCTGACACCCCAGCCTTGCCTCTGCTGCCAGACAGCAGCGCAAGGCCACGCACCGCCATAAAGCACAACCGACAATGGCTGCTGATCTGAAGTAGCTGGCCATTGTTGCCCTATCTTTCCGGCGGCTGGACCCCTACAACAACCGTTCATTCGCCAAGGTTCCTCCCGCAGCTGCCAACCACTACACGGTCAACCATTAAAAGTGCACGTCCGTGCTCGCACACTCTACAAAGCAGCGCGCTCAGAGCTGTACCACGCTCACCCACAAAGCTACGTGGCGTCGCCACAGTACTCGGCGGGTCAGCGGTGCTCTTGAGCGATTCGAGCCGACACTTGCGACGACGAATGGATGTGACGCTGCTGTGCCACCGCGACAGATATGCGTGCTTTGCTTTGCTGTGGTCAGACGCCTCGGCTACCGCCTCCAAAAAGAGAGTTGGCCAGCCGTTCGTTTTCCTAGCCGACTACGTTGCCGTGTTGTCCTTCTCGTCCATCCGAGTCACGGGAATCCCTCAGATCGCGGTGCCGGCATGTACGGTCCAACCGTGGGTCTGCAGTTGTCGTCACGACGGCCCATCAATATCGGTCGGTGTCATCTCCACGGCCACAATCACGTACGACGGACAGCCCTCGAAGATCCCACGCCGCCTATCAACTCGTGTCGGCACCTCGTCACACGCCATTATTCTAGACATCGAGTAGTACCTTGCAGCGCGGTACCAATGAGTCATGGGCTATGAGTCATGGGCGATGTCCTCGCAGCTGTGCGGGTCGTGTCCACCCCAGCAGGTGGGCGACTCGATGCCATGCGTCTCACGCCACGTATTAATACGCGCAACAACATTTCGTTATCTTTTGGACTAGACGAGTTGCAGGATTGAGGCGACAGCCAATCCACTTGGAGCATGCTCCAGAGAAGAGGGTCTGAAATACGAACCGGAGGGCACAGAAGGCATCATCATGGCTGTCTATCACTCCCGACGCCACGCGTGATGATGCTGCTCCAGAGTGCCCTTGGTACAGCGTGTACCCAAATCGGTTTGTTCATGGAAGGACCGGGATCTACAGTATTGAAGCCTCCAGTTGGCAGAACACTTTACAACGTCTCCACGTCGACGGCAGCAAGTTGGTCCACAGCGATGCGATCGTGGTGCAAAATGTCGCAGCAAGGTCCGTGGGCCCAACGACAATTTTATATTTTCGGCCACGATACGACGATATACTAATAGTACTGCCGAGCACGGCATATTGGTACCCTTTTCCCTTGGTCTATTGCAGCTTTAGGTCTCTCGAGACGCGACTTGACGAGGCCAGGAGCTACTTCACACACAAGCTGACTCCATTGTGCATGTCGGATTGGCTCAAAAGAAAATGTCTCCACCAATCCACACCATTTGAAATGTGGCATTTTAGCGAATCAAAACTGTTTCTTGCCAACGTTTTGACCAATCAACGCGCTACCAACGGCGCATATCTTCTTTGTCCGTCGACCGCACACGCGATGGCGACCTACAACATTGCGCGCTCCCTCCAGGGCCATGGCGGCGCGGTACGTCCATCCTCCGCCCATGGACGTGGGTCATGGCGACCCAGATGACCTGGTTCCTATGGACCAGGAGCTCCATGAGCCCATGTCGGGCGCTGCGTCTGGATAGGAAGGATGACCATATTGCATGCTGCGTAGATCCGCGCGATCTGCCAGGTCGACGACGTGCTCGTGACAGGCTCCATGGACGCGGCCGCGTACGTCTGGTCGTCTACCTCGTCGATCGAGCAGTCAATCTTTGACCACAACCACTGGGTGACGGCGCTTACGACGCTTCCATCGACGCATGCCACGCGCCTCGGCGGCCACGGCTTTGTCTCGGGCAGCATGGACACCAACATTCGCGTCTACCTCAAGTCGGCCGGCAGCGGGTTTTCGTGCGCGATCGTGCTCAAGGGCCATACGAGCGGGGTCATCTCCCTGGCGTGGCTCGCGTCCGAGGTGCTTCTCTCGGGCAGTTGGGATGGCACCTGTCGCGGCTGGGACCTCGCGACGCAGACATGCACGTTCGTCTTGCCCAACCACGAGAACGGCGTGTGCGTCCTTGGCCTCGAGAACGGTTCGATCGTCACGGGCTCGACGGGCCGCCAAGAGGGCAACCAAGTCGTCGACGCGCTTCTCCGCGTGTGGCAGCCGTCCGCGTCCGGCAGCGACTACACGCTCGCATCGACGCTCAAGGACCATCAAGGTACATCGATGCATTGTAAATGCAGGTGCGCATGCGTACACGTAGGTCCTATTCGCCAGCTTGTCCCTGTCCCCGACATTGGCTTTGCCTCGTGCTCCAACGACGGGTACGTTCCAGCATGGCTCGTCTTTCTGTTTCATAGAAATCTCTCTTTTTCGTAGGAGCGTCAAGCTGTGGACGTTCGGCGGCGACGTCGTCATGAGCTGCAGCCACCCGCTTAACCACGAAGGCAAGCCAGGGTTTGTGCTTGGACTGGCGTACCTTGCGCAGAGCCGCCAGCTCGTCTCGGCGAGCGAAGACTGCACAGCGTGCGTCTGGTCGCTCGGTACTCGACAGAGAGATGGACGGTATCGTGACACGTGGTGTGCGTAGACGGCTCGCTGCTGCAGACGATTGCGCATCCGCAAGGTCTATGGTGCGTCACAGCGCTGAGCGGCACGGACTTTGCAACCGGCGGCGACGACAAGATTGCCCGCGTCTTTAGCACGTCAGCGACCATGGAGTCGTCGGCGGCCGAGATCCTCGCCCTCCAAGAGCAAGTCGAAAATGCGGCGAAATCGCGCCAGCACGGTCCGAGCGCCGTCGAAATTGAGAAGCTGCCCGACTACTTTCAGCGCGCGTCGCGGACGGGGCCGTCGGACGGCTTTATCCAAATGTTCCGAAAGGGCACATCGGCGTGGGCATGCCAGTGGAGCGGTCCGTCACGGACGTGGCTCGATGTACTGCGTCTCTTGCGGTATCCGGGACTGAGGTCATCCTTTAGATTGGCGAGGTCACGGGCACGGGTTCGGGTGGCGTCGTCGACGGCGAGTCGTTTGATCTTGTGATTCCGGTCGAGATTGAAACACCCAACGGCCTCCAAAAGCTGTACCTGCTGGTGGTCTAGTTTGACGTCGCTGAGCGTCGACTTTTGTAGGCAAATCGGCTACAACCAAGGGCAGAACCCGTTCCAGGTCGCCCAAGCGTTTATCGACAAGCATTTCTTGCAGCAAGGCTACCTCAAGGAGGTGCGATTTCGTTTTTAAGTTCATTGTCGCGCAAACTCGTATCTGCTCGTGTAGATTGCTGATTTTATCACGGCGCAGTCGGGCAGCTACCAGGCGCCAGTGCTTGGCTCGGCCGCGCCTCCACCGACCACCCCCGCGGCTTTTGCATCGACGTTCTTTCCCGTCGTACGGTTTTAACGCGTCCTGTGTCGCTACCGAGTTGCTACAATGTGGTACATGTTGCGTAGAAGTCGTACAGCTCGTTTGACTCGACCAAGGTGGCCAAGCTGCACTCGACGGTCGTGCAGTTCAACGCAGCCGTGGCCCCGGCGGTGCGTGGCGTCATTAGTCCATTGTGCTAGAATACAGAGACTCACTCAGCACGGTTGTAGGTAGCGCTCACGGACGCCGAGCTCGAGACGCTGGCGACGTTGCTCACAACGCTGACGCAGACGTCGTACTACCACTCGAGCCAAGTCTCGAGCACGCAAGTCGACGTGGCGCTCAAGATGGTCGAGCACTGGCCTGCCGCGCACGTGTTTCCCTGTACGTCTACCCCTCTCCATTTGGGTGCTTTTACATGGCCCTATAGCGCTGGACGTCTGCCGTCTCGTGGCCCTTCATCCTATCGGCGCGAGCGTTCTCAGCCGCAAGGCGCCATGGCTCCTGGAACGGTGTCTCGCCCTTGGTACACATGACCTATCTGTCGATGGCGCTTTGTATACGATCGCCATGTCGGTGTAGGCGTTGACGCGAGTGTGGCCGTGCCCAACCCCACGCGCATGTTGGCATGGCGTGTGCTCTGCAACTACTGCGTGCACGCGTCGCTTCGGTCGGCGCTTGTGCAGTCCTCGGCGAACGTACGTGCGCAGCTGTGGAATGTCGTGCGTGGTCTGAATGTCGTGGTAGGTCGAGACGGGTCTTGTGTCGGCGTGGTCGCTTGCCAGCGGCAACAAGACGCTGGCCGTCACGCTGGCCACGCTGGGTTTGAACCTTGCCGTGGCTGTGGCAGCCAAGGAGCGCGACGCGTCGGCGGCGCTGGCCTCGGTGCTCCGCACGGTATATATTTCGTTGCCACGACAACAGGATCTCAGGCGTATGGCTAGATGGCGGCGACTGACGCCCTCGACGACGACACGTTTGGCCGCCTTCTCCTCGCCATTGCGACGCTGGTATCACGTGGACGCATGACGACGCGCGAATCTGATTGTTTTTGTGACGTAGGGCTCGGTCGCGCCGCAATTGTGGCCGTCGTTGCCGTCTGCGGGAACCTTGCGCCCCCGGGCGTCCGCCACGCCGTCGCTGCTCGCGATTCTCGACGATCTCGCGGCCGCGTCGCGCGCGTAAAGCGCCTTGGCGATCTCACTGCGTAACTACGATGCTCGTATGCATGTGTGTACTGCTGGGATCGATCCCATGCCCAAGGGATGGGAGCTCGTGGGTCCCACGGGACACAGGACGACTGTATTTTGTCATGCACGCCACGGACCACATATGATTGTATTATATGGACACGAGACAATCACTTGAAGAGGCAGTCGCCCGCGCCACCGAGCGCCTTCTGGACGACGCGACGGGCAAACGGAATGTACGACAGCGAGTACCAGATTGCGGCGAGGAACTGCAGCAACACAAAGAGGAGGACGAGGACGACCTTGGCGGCCTGGCGCATCTTGGAGAACGCCACGAGCAGCGTCAGCACAATCAAACTCAGGTACACGGTGGTCGCAATCCACCGGTGCTTTTGGAACATGGTGGCCACTTGGCGACTCGGGCCGACGAGGAAGATGGTCGAGAGCAGGCCGCAGAGCGACCCGAACGAGTACATGACGCCAAACCCGACCAAGTTGACGGTCAGCAGAAAGACGAGCGAGAAGAGCGAGCACGCGGCGCCAACGGCCAAGACAGCGCCAAACGCATACAGTCGGTTCTCGTACGACATGCTGGGGCAGCCCGCCTTGACGTTGTCGTCGATATCGTCATCCCGGGACGAACTATCAGTGGTCGTCGCCGCGGTCGTTGTGGGCAGCTCTGCGCGGGGCGTGCTCTTGGAGAAGAAGAAGCCGGCCATGAGGATGTCGGGCCGATTCCAAGAAATAGGAAATATGCAACGCTTGTCCAGTCCGCAGTGTCTTGCGACAGGCCATGACGCGAGGTGACGGCGACATTCACTCACCATCTGCTCGCAACTAACATGAGCTCTTTGGGTGCGGGCGTGTTGAGTTAGTTGTTGGACCAGCGCGGAGCCGTGCAAACGACACGGAATGCCAAGACAACTCATCGTAAAAACTCGCCGCGCCGCAATCGGCCCTCGAGTCGTCCATTCCTGCTCTCTGGCCAATCTTACGCGCTCGCGTCTGGTGTAATTGTCTTTGGCTCGAACGCAACAACCGTGTCTTCCGCTCGACACTGACGCAACTTCCTGCTGCCGCCCTCGCGATCAAGGCAGCTACATACTATCGCAATACTGCACGTCCGGCACTTGGCTCGTCGCGCTGTGGTGTCATCGCTTGACGCGTCGCTGCCCGCTCGCCAAGACGACCCTTAGTGTGCACGCTACGTGGTCCCTCGCACAGTTCCAAATCACGACCACTAACGCTCCTCGCTTGGCGCACCGGCCACGCCTCACGAGCGCATTAGCCCACCAGATCTTTCTAATTGCGTGTACCGGTAATGTAAGCTTAACTCACAGTCAGTTCAACAACAACACAGCGCTGAATTGACACCGAATTCCGAGACAACTCATCGTATCAAACAAGAGCATTATTCACGATGAGAGGGAGGTTCGAGGCACCCGCGACCCCACACGTGACGGCGAGACGGCGCACCAAGTCGTTCCGGTTTGCCTCATGTCTGGAGGCTGCAGCGATCGCAGCCCGATTGAGGCAGAGAAGCAGAGTCGCGGACTTGGTCAAAGTGCAATGTTGGTTGCGGCGTGAGCAACTGCAGTAGACGGTATTAGTGGTCCATCTCAAGGACACTGGTAGACTAGAGGACCCAGCATCGAACGCTGTGGATTTCTGCCATGCGCTCGGCATGCTCCAACGGGATCCTCCTGCCATACTATCAAGATGAACCGTCATTGCGGCTCATATCTGGGCCGCCAAGCACGTGTACTGTTCGTCGATAAGGCGTAGAATAGTTGCAGATTACGCGTTGACCATGAACAAAGGTCCTACTCGACTCTACCCGTAGGCTACCAGCTCCCAGCTCCTTTGAGTCGCGTGCAAATAGGTAAAAAATTTCAAGCCAAAATATTTGTTGCTTTAGGGATACTATTAGTACCGTATATGTGTCTTACGCGACAGCATTAGCGCGCTAGTCGACTTCCTCACCTCTCGTGTCGAGAGAATCTCTTTTGTATTGTTGCTGCCCATTCGTCTCGGCTCGCGGCGCGCAATCGAGTCCACGCTTAGTTAGTCGATCGCGATCGACTAACACACAAAGCGGTCCCTCTGCACCGTTGTATCCAGCGCCGACTTCGAAAATCGTCTAATTTGGGCTTGTCCTACTGGCTTGGACACGCTTCGAACTTCGCTTTCCGGATAACATTTTGCACTGCATCGTCTTGCTGTTTGTATGAAATGTGCTGGTAAAGAGCCGACGAGGACCCGAAGTTCGAAGCGGCACTGGTGTTTCAAGCGAGCTCCTCTTGCAGGTTGTAATCGGGCACACGCCAAGTCGCCGCCATGAAGAACACCGTCGTGAGTACGTCTACCTCAGCGTCGCCGCCTTCTCATGCTCGAACGTAGCTGTCTTCTTCAGCCTCGCGTCGCTCGCCTGCTGCGCGTTTGCGCTCATGTACCCGGCGTGGTTCCAGCAAAAGTACGCCAGCGCGAACGCGACCGTCGAGGTCTACCAAGGCTTTGGCCTCTTTGCCTTTTACTCGACGCACGCGCTCCAGACGCCGTTCTACGCGTCGGCGACGACGCTCAAGTACGTCGACTTTTGCGCGGCGAACGCGGCCGGGAAGCCGTCGCCCAACTGGATGCTCGGCAACGGCAACGCGATCGCCGAGATTGTGTGTGGCTCGGCCATGACCGCGCTGCAGTACGTCATGGGCTGTGCGACGGGCATTGCCGGCCTCGCGCTCCTCGGCGCGATCGCTGCCACGTACAACCCGTCGACGGGCCTCGCCGAGCGCACGGTCTCGGG